GCTTAGGGAGGAATAGTCTGCCTGATTGCTTCCCAGTGAGAACGTGAACTCAGGGTTGCCAGGTTGCCTGCCTTTCTTTTTCTTTTGTACCAGAGATTGAAGCCAGGACACTACCACTGAGCCACATCCCCCACCCCTTATATTTTGAGACAGGGTCTCAGTAAGATGTTGAAGATCTTGATAAATTGTTGAGACTGGCCTCAAACTTGTAATCCTGTCTCAGCCTCCTGAGTAGCTGGAGTTTCAGGCATGCACCACCACACTATACCCCCCCCCCCCCCTTTTTTTGTGTGTGTGCTTGTTTCTTTGTTTTGTTTTTTCAATACCAGGATTAAACCCAGGGGCTTTTAACCACTGATTCACATTCCTAGCTCCACCCCTTTTAAATATTTTACTATATTGAGACAAGGGTCTTGCTGAGTTCCTTAGGGCCTTGCTAAGTTATGGAAGCTAGCTTTGAACTTGCGATCCTCTTGCCTCAGCTTCCCAGGTTGCTGGAATTACAGGCATGAACCATTGCAACTGGCTTCTTTGTTTTTTAAAAAAGGAACCAGAGGGCTGGGGATGTGGCTCAAGGGGTAGCGCGCTCGCCTGGCATGCGTGCGGCCCAGGTTCGATCCTCAGCACCACGTACAAAGATGTTGTGTCTGCCGAAAACTAAAAATAAATATTAAAAAAAAAAATTCTCTTTAAAAAAATAAATAAATAAATAAAAATAAAAAAGGAACCAGAAATCTATATTTAATATCATTTCCCAATTTCTAAATGTCAACAGTTCCAATTTTTGTTTTTGTTTTTTTAGTTGTAGATGGACACAATACCTTTATTTTATTTACTTATGTGTTGCTAAGGATCAAAACCAGTGCCTCATGAGTGCTAGGCAAGTGTTCTACCACTGAGCCACATCCCCAGTACTGATTGAACCCAGGGGTACTCTACCACTGAGCTACACATCAGCCCTATTTATTTATTTTTGGTATAGGGATTGAATCCAGCAGTGCTTTACCACCAAACTATATCTAAACCCTTTTTATTTGCTGAGGCTGGCCTCAAACTTGTGATTCTCCTACCTCAGCCTCCAAAGTCACTGGGATTACAGGTGTGAGCCACTACATTCAGCCATTTTATATTTTGAGAGTGTCTCAGTAAATTACCAAAGCTGGCCTTGAACATTCAATCCCCTGCTTCAGGCTCCTGAGTTGCTAGGATTATAGGTGTACACCCCCTTGCCTACCTAGTTCCAGTTTTTCTTTAAAACACTGCAGATCAGATGGGCACAGTGGCACATGCCTCAGCCAGTGTCTCGGGAAGCTGAGGTAGGAGGATCTAGAGTTAAAAGCCAGCCTCAGCAATGGTAAGATGCCAAGCAACTCAGTGAGATAGGGCTGGGGATGTGACTCAGTGGTTGAGAGTGCCCATGTGTTTAATCCCCAGTATCAAACACTTAATGGTCTGCCAGCTTGCAGCCTCTGCCAAAGTCTGTAATAGGTACAGTAATAGAAGAGTGTACTAGGGGTGCAATGACACACATCTGTAATTCCATTGACCAGGAGGCTGAGACAAGAGGATTATATGTTCAAGGTCAGCCTTGACAGCTTAGCGAGACCCTGTCTCAAAAAAAAAAAAAAAAAAGATGGGGGGCTGGGGATGTGGCTTGGGTGGTAGCGCGCTCACCTGGCATGCGTGCAGCCAAGGTTTGATCCTCAGCACCACATACAAACAAAGATGTTGTGTCCGCCAAAAACTAAAAAATAAATATTAAAAAAAAGATTCTCTCTCTCTCTCAAAAAAAAAAAAGATCTTTCCATTTAAAAAAAAAAAAAAGATGCGGGGATTGAGGATGTAGCTCCATGGTAGAGGGTTCTTGGGTTCAACCCCTAATATCACAAAAATAATTAAATACAAAAGAATGTACTAGATACAGGGGGATTGAGGTAATGAATCAAAACTGTGGTATGAGGAGTGGTTTAGTGGAGTGGGTATTATGATTAGCCTGGGGAGGAAAGAGTGTAATCCATTTCTTGGCCAGGAGCAGCGTAGTTGACAGCGTATTCATAGAGGAGAGTCCAGCACCCAGGAAAAGGAACCGGCGCCTTGTCACAGAGTCCCTTTCAGCTTGAGGTTCTTCAGTGCTGAGTGCTTGAGAACCCAAGTTACTTGAGAAAGGAGGGGTAGGGAGGATGTGAAGAGGGGTAAGAAGAAAACTCCTGAAGTGGGAGGTGTTAGGGAGCCGTAGGAGTGGCCAGAGAGATAATTGAGAGATTATGGAACAGAATTGAGTGTGGGAAAGGGAAGAGTGACCATCTTTTCATTTCTGCCGGTGACACTGAAGAGACATATGAGCGACTGGAGGCTGACAAAAAGAAACAGGTTCACAAGAAACGGAAGTGCCCTGGGCCTATAATCACCTATCATTCGATGACGGTGCCACTTATCGGGGAGCTGGGCCCCAAGGAGGAGAATGTGGATGTCGAAGGGTAAGTGGGCCAGCCTGCTGAGCTCGCCGCTTTCCTCACAGCCTCCCTGACTTGCACCTTTCAGAATCTGCCCTCCCTTCAGCTCCTTTCTTTCAGCCTCTCTTCTCTCTTTCCTGTCTTTCTTTCTAGCCTCACATTTCTTCCCAGCTACCATCATCTAGGAGGTTCTCTCAGGATGCCCACCACTCCCGTTTTTCCTCTTTCCTCATCTGATTTCTTCCCTTCTGACTCTGTTTCCCCTCAGCTCTTGTGTTTTCTCCCTGTCTTTTGTCCTCAGACTTGATCCTGCTCCCGCGGCCTCTTCATTGGCTCCCCGTGCTGGGACTGGACCTGTCATCCCACCTGCTCGCTGCTCGCGTACCTTCATCACATTCAGTGATGATGCGACATTTGAGGAATGGTTTCCCCAAGGTCGGCCCCCAAAGATCCCTGTTCGGGAGGTCTGCCCAGTGACCCATCGTCCAGCTCTGTACCGGGATCCTGTTACAGACATCCCCTATGCCACTGCTCGAGCCTTCAAGATCATCCGTGAGGCCTACAAGAAGTACATCACTGCCCATGGACTGCCTCCTACTGCCTCAGCCCTGGGCCCTGGCCCCCCACCTCCTGAGCCCCTCCCTGGCTCTGGGCCCCGAGCCTTGCGCCAGAAAATTGTCATCAAATGAAGAAATGTCTAGTCCTTAGAAAACTCTTTCCTGCCTGAAAATGGGGCTCTTGATCTTCCCTCTCTCTCTACTTCTGCCCTTAATATCTCTGATTGCCCATTCCTCTATATGTCTTTCCCCCAGTTCCTTGTTCATTTTGTTGTGGTTTTTTAATCTAATAAAATGGAAAGATCCTTCTTGTTTGGTGTCTATTCTATAATTGGGACAAGAAGTATTTGTGAATGTCTGAGTCTATTTGGGTCTTTGTGTTTGTTTGATAACATTTATTATGTGCTGTCCTTTGTATCTCTTGTTTTTTTTCTGACACGGGTTCTTGCTGTGTGTCCTAGGCTGATCTCAAACTCCTGGGCTTAAGCAGGCTTTGCACCTCAGCCTCCAGAGTAACAGACTACAGGTGTGTGCACCATACTCAGCTTGTTTTTTTTTGTTTTTAATATTTTTGAAGTTGTTGATAGACCTTTATTTTATTTATTTACACACGGTGCTGAGAATTGAACCCAGTACCTCACCCATGCCAGGCAAGTGCGCTACTGCTCAGCCACAGCCACAGCCACAGCCACAGCCCCTGTCCTTTTTTGATTGTATCATTCCTCCAACTAGATTACAAACACCTTAAAATTAGATACCAAGGGGCTGGGGCTGTAGCTTAGTGGCAGAGCGCTTGCCTTGCACATGTGAAGCACCGAGTTCGATCCTCAGCACCACATAAAATAAAGGCATGCTGTACAACTACAAAAATATTTTAAAAAAAAAAAAAAAAAGATACCAAAACAAAAGCCTTACATCTGCCAACATTTTTGTGGGAGAAGGGGCTTACCACTGAACCTCATCCCCAGCCCTTTTTTGTATTTTATTTAGAGACAGGGTCTCACTGAATTGCATGGGGCCCTCCCTAAGTTGCTGAGGCTGGCTTTGAACTCCAGATCCTCCTGCCACAGCCTCCTGAGTCACTGGGATTACAGGCTGTACCACCGAAACCAGCACATTGACCTTGTATTTACTGCTTTAAATGTAACAAACATCAAATAGTAGAAACCATCTGATTCTCATGAACTTGACTCCAGGACTGAGCTTTTATGAAGAGAAGAGGCAGAGGTGCCATGGCTATTCATGGCCACTAGAGGCTCTCAGGGCTGGGCAGGGTATGGGGGCTGTGTATATGTGATCTCCCACTACCCCCCACCTGGCCAGAGCTAAAATAATAAAATGCTGATCTCACTGTTCCCCCACCCTTTCCCCCGGCAGGGCACCAGGCTCCTCCTGCTGCCGGAGCAGTGCCCCAGTAGAACAGAACTACTGACAGAAGGGGAGGTGAGAAGGAGGTGGCCATCAGGACTGGTAAGTGGGGACAGCAGGGGGCTTATAGTTGAGAACCTGGTGGGAGATAGGAGAAGAAGAGTAGCTCTTAAATAACATGAGTATGTCTCTGTCACTCAGTGTTTGTCTCTGCCACCACCCTGTTCCTTAACTGTGTCATTTATGTTGTCGATATAATTGTCTCACACACGTTTTGGGTCTTTTACCTTAGCAGCAGGGTGTGTATGTGTGGTTTGTGTATGTCTTTACATTGTAAAAGATCATGTGAGTTTAGTCTTTCCACAGTTTTAAGAGAGACTTTACTCCATTTAAAAGGCATTTCTCACCCATTGGTCTGGTGTCACCTTCCTGGTGACAGATATGGGGACTCAGTCCCTTCTCCTGAGGCCATACTGCCCTTCCCCCAACTTGGAAGTCCCCTAGCTTCTGAGTCCTTGCTTTCCCTAAGGATTCAGAATTTTAGCAAAGAGGTAAAGTGAAATCTTGATCTCTCCACATAAAAGAGGAAATACGGGTGGGATAAAAAAGTTCGCCTCCCTCCCCCACCTTAGCCAGTTTAGTAAAACAGACTGAGTAATAGTAAGGAGAGGACAAATTTCCCCGAAGCCCTCTGTGCACCCCACCCCCATACACACACCTTTCAGTGGGGACTGGGCATGACTCCAGCTGTGCTGGCAGAGCTCCCAGCAGCTGTGCTAGGCAACAGGCCTGATGGGTGAGGGTATGGGGTGCGTGTTGCCAGGATTTCCCTGTCACACGGTGAGAGGACAGACCCAGTTTGGATCCTGGGATCCCCATCCAAATTGGATAGAAGCTGAAGAAGGAGACACCAATTCTAACTCTAAACAGACTCACCTCCCCTACCCTGCTAGATTTCTCCCCTCCAGTGTTCTACCCCCCGCTTGTCTCTTGATGTCCATACTGTGTCCATGTCCGTCTTTCCATGTCCAACTACTTTTTCCATGTCCCCCCAGGCTCTCAGTGCCACACAGTGGGGAAGGGGTGGGGGTCACCATGTCATCGTATCAGAAGGAACTGGAGAAATACAGAGATATAGATGAAGATGAGATCCTCAGGACCTTGAGCCCCGAGGAGCTAGAGCAGCTGGACTGCGAGCTGCAGGAGATGGACCCTGAGGTAGGGGCTGCAGCACAGGACCAGGAGTGGTCCCCAGGCATTTGGGAAAGGTGCTGGGCTCCCGGGTGGCTGAGACCAGAGCTAACCACAGGGCCTGGAGTCCCAAGAGAGCCAGGGAAAAGCTATCTGGAGATGTTTTAGGGAGCCCTGGAGGTACACCAGAGGGGTACCTGACTTGTTTCCTAAAACTCATCCCTCAGAACATGCTCCTGCCAGCTGGATTAAGACAACGTGACCAGACAAAGAAGAGCCCAACAGGGCCACTGGATCGAGAGGCCCTTTTGCAGTACCTGGAACAACAGGCACTAGAAGTCAAAGAGCGGGATGACTTGGTACCCTTCACAGGAGAGAAGAAGGGTATGGGGACCCTGACTTCCATGCCTCCCAGAGATTCAATGGCTCTCTCAGTCTCCCCTCCAACTTCCCTCTCACCTCCAACTCCTACCTGCCCAGGGTGCCCTGACACCTGCCTGCCAGCTTGCACTCTGAAGTCTTCATCAGGGATCAGGGGATCCAGGAGTCCTGAACTTGTAGAGGATTCAGACTTTCTGGTGTCCCCTAGCAACCCAGCATTATACCTCCTGAAGAAAGGAAGGAAGCTGGAGGCCAGGATTTTGGGAGAAATGACCTCGGCCTGAACCATCCTTCATCTCCCCATCAGGGAAACCCTATATTCAGCCTAAGAGAGAAATCCCAGCACAGGAACAGATCACCCTAGAGCCCGAGCTGGAAGAGGCCCTGGCCCATGCCACAGATGCCGAGATGTGTGATATAGCAGGTGGGCAGTGGTGAGAACTGGAGGAGGGTAGAGGATCAGGGGCAGGGGTGTCCTTGCTGTGATAGGACACCTATAGGTGGGAAAGGTCTATATTCTGAACTGGGCAGAGATGTCAAAGCCTCAGGCAGTGGTTTTTTAACTTTTCTTAGTTGTTTACTTATATATGCATTCATTTTTAATTTAACAAGGTAGTATCCCAGAGTAATTTTACAGAGATTATAAAAGCAAAAAAAAAAAAAAAAAAAGGAGATGTTCTGGCTAAAATCAGCAGGGGTTCTCTGCAGACCCTCATCACCTTCTTATAGTTCCTCAGGGGGACTTCCCTAAGCCCTATTTCAAAGTTTTAGAAACCACTGCCTTGGGCAATTTATAGAAGGGAACCTGGGGACTGAGGATGGGTGGGAAACCCCTATGGAAGAATGAAAGGGGGGCTGGGGGTGTGGCTCAAGCGGTAGCGCGCTCGCCTGACATGCGCGAGGCGCTGGGTTCGATCCTCAGCACCACATACAAATAAAATAAAGATGTTGTGTCCACCGAAAACTAAAAAATAAATAAATATTTTTAAAAAAAGAAAAAGAAAAATGAAAGGGGTTAGGATGTACAAATGCTGCTGCAGAGTAAGGTGAGAGGCGTGCTTGGAACAGGCCCCTTCTCATCACCTGCACCTCCTTTACTTCCCCTCTCTAGCAATTCTGGGCATGTACACACTGATGAGCAACAAGCAATATTATGATGCCATCTGCAGTGGAGAAATCTGCAACACTGAAGGCATTAGCAGTGAGTGTGTTGGGGAAATGGCCCCCCACCCCAGGGCTCTGGGCAGGCAGTCCCAGAATCAGAGAAAACGTGGCAAAGGTTAAAATAGATGAATCTGGGTGAGGACATGGTGCCTGAGTGATAGAACAATGGGGAGATTGTGGGGGACATGTTGGGGTTCCCTTCCTGCTGTCACCCATCAGGTGTGGTACAGCCTGACAAGTATAAGCCAGTGCCAGATGAGCCCCCAAACCCCACAAACATCGAGGAGATGCTAAAGAGGGTTCGAAGCAATGACAAGGAACTGGAGGAGGTGAACCTCAATAATATACAGGTATTTGATGCCCATCTTCCAAACAGTAACATAGGGATAACTCTGCTGACATATGAGAGTCCCTAGCCCATCATCTCTCATGCTCCTCTGACAGGACATCCCAATAACCATGCTAAGTGAGCTGTGTGAGGCGATGAAGACAAACACCTATGTCCGGAGCTTCAGTCTGGTGGCCACAAGGAGTGGTGATCCCATTGCCAATGTAAGACTAGTTGACATTCTCAGCCCTCTCCCCACACCTTGATATGAACCCTGAGCAAGGCTCTCAGCCCTCTCCCCACACCTTGATATGAACCCTGAGCAAGGCTGTCATAAAGGAGTGGCTAGGGGTACTATTCCCATCATATTTTCTTTCTTTTTTTTGGGGGGGGGGACCAGGGATTGAATCCAGGATTGCTTTACCACTGAGCAACATTCCCAGCCCCTTTTATTTTTTGAGACAGGGTCCTGCTAAGTTTCTGAGGCTAGCTTTGAATTTGGGATTCTCCTGCCTCAGCTTCCAGAGCTGCTGGGATTATAGGCATGTGCTGCTATGCCCAGCTCATTGTATTTTCTTTTTTTTTTTTTTTTTTAATTTTTTATTGTGGGTTGTTCAAAACATTACAAATTTCTTGACATATCATATTCCACACTTTGATTCAAGTGGGTTATGAACTCCCACCTTCACCCCATACACAGATTGCAGAATCACATCAGTTACACATCCATTGATTTACAAATTGCCATACTAGTGTCTGTTGTGCTCCACTGCCTTTCCCATCCTCCACCCTCCCCCCTCCCCACCTCTCCCCTCCCCTCCCCTCCTCTCTCTCTACCTCCTCCACTGTATAACCCTGAGGGTCTCCTTCCATTACCATGCAATTTCCCTTCTCTCTCCCTTTCCCTCCCACCTCTCATCCCTGTTAAATGTTAATCTTCTTCTCCTGCTCTTCGTCCCTACTCTGATCTTAGTTACTCTCCTTATATCAAAGAAGACATTTGGCATTTGTTTTTTAGGGATTGGCTAGCTTCACTTAGCATAATCTGCTCTAATGCCATCCATTTCCCTGTAAATTCTATGATTTTGTCATTTTTTAATGCATGGGGGGTGATTTAGCTCAGTTGGTAGAGTGCTTGCCCTGCATGCACAAGGCCCAAGGCCCTGGTTCAATCCCCAGCACCACAAAAAAAAAAAAAAAAAATCTCATGGAGACCCTGACACATAGTCCTATGGTTTGCAACTCTGAAATCCTGAAATGATTTTTCCAAAAGGCCTCTGTCCTTTCTCATACTCCATCTCCACTGTGTGCTTAATTTCCATTTTTACCTACTACTTACTTCAGTCTCCCTCTAACCCCACTTACAGCTCCTCAAGGACTCTTCAAAAAGTTGTTTCCTTCTTGCTCCCGTTCTTTCTCCTCAGTCATCTGTGAACTCTCCTAATCTTAACCCAAGTTCCTACTACCTAGGCGGTGGCTGACATGTTGCGCGAGAACCGTAGTCTCCAGAGCCTGAACATTGAATCCAACTTCATTAGCAGCACAGGACTCATGGCTGTGCTGAAGGCTGTTCGGGAAAATGCCACACTCACTGAGCTCCGTGTGGACAACCAGGTCAGCATTCCTTTCCCTTGGTCTTAACCTTCAGCTAATACCCAATGAGTTTCCTCCCTGAGCCAACCATTGGAGCAGTTATCTCACTTGATTTTGTTGGAATTCTCGTTCCTCTCTGTGAGGGAAACCAAGTCAGCACCTTTCTTCATCACCTGGAGAAACGAGCCCCTTGACTTCCCAAAGGCATCGATGGTCTGGGACGGTGAATGACCCAGAGGGTGGCTGACAGCTTTCACCTCTTCCTCCTCCAGCGCCAGTGGCCTGGTGATGCAGTGGAGATGGAAATGGCCACCGTGCTAGAGCAGTGTCCCTCTATCGTTCGCTTTGGCTACCACTTTACACAACAGGGGCCACGAGCTCGGGCTGCCCAAGCCATGACTCGGAACAATGAACTACGTAAGTAATTGCAGACATGGTGCGTGTGAGCTGAAGACAGGAAATGTGGGAACTGATTGATGCTCCCGAAAGCAGACTTAGTGACAAACACCTTGGGTTGTTGCCAGAGATATTCATCTGAGAAGTTCAGATCCCCTGAGTGATGAGAAAGTATATAGAAAGTTCTTCTGCCCCGGATATATACCCATAGAGAGGTGGGAAGGAAGCTGTACAATTTTTTTTTTTTAAACTCCAGAGTACACTACCACTGAACTACATCCTCGGTCCTTTTTATTTATGAAACAGGATCTCACTAAGTTGTCGAGACTGGACATGAACTTGTGATCCTCCTGCCTCAGCCTCCTGAATCACTAGGATTACAGGCATGTGCCACTGTGCCCAGCCATAATTCTAATATTTGGTGTAGTTTCTTACGTTATTAATGTGGCATGGGCATGTCAGGTGGCCTAAGACACTACCATCTTATGATTCTAAGGAACTGGAAAGAAGAGTACCCTTGCCAAAATCAGGAGATGGAACAAAAGCTTGTGTTTGCTTTCTTTCGTTTACAGGTCGCCAGCAAAAGAAGAGATAAGACCACCCTTCCCTTGACCAACTAGACCTGGGAACCCTGGACACGTAAATTCTCATTTCCCCTCTTCCTGTAAATAAAAGCCCTTTTGTCCATCCTGCATGACTGCTTCTTGGGCTTTTGGGTGGGAATCTTGGCGCTAACCCCCAAGGGTTACTGCCAGTTCATCAGGGGATTATTTATACTCTGGGGATCAGCAGGCAGAGAGTTTCAGGTTACTAGGAGAAGGTGGGGGAGCTTCCTCCTTTGGTGTTCCCCACAAACCTGCCAATACCTTCAGTCTTTCTACTTTCACAGAGTATTTGGCCTCAATCCTGTTTCCAGATTTGACCAGAGTCCCCCAGTCTACCCACAACCCTACATGTGATTTGATCTGGGAAGGACTTTGAGTGGAGGTGGGGAAGGAGGCAGACAACATGAAGGGCAAAGACCTCTTTCTGACAGACTTATTAATAGGGCATTGGGCTGCATGCAGCTGACGCTTGGCATGACTTTGGTAGAAGGTGGGGGAGGGATTAGAAGTATGGGGAGCTGTGTACATTGCAGAGAAGGAATGGCCAGGTTGAGAATGAACAGATCTGAAATCCTGATATAGAAAAGGAAACTCAACTCAAGGAAAGTCAGGCTCCCAGTGCCCACTGTAGTTTATTTGTAAATGAATGGGGAAAGATGGTTTCAGTCTATAGGGAGGTCAGGGGGTTCCTCCTCATCAGAGTCAAACTCAACATTTTCATCTTTTATCCATCGACCTCGTCCATCTGGGATCCATCCAGAGCTGGAAACATCAGAGAAAAGACAATTAGTCAGGGAGGTAATATAATTTGTGACAATAAGAAAAAATATTAGATAGGTTTGAAAAAAGGAGGGTCAGGTAGCATGTGGTGGTACACTTTTATTATAATCTTAGCTATTTGGATCACAAATTCAAGGCCAGTTTGGGCAACTTAACATGACTCTGTCTCAAAATAAAAAATGTTAAAAAGGGGGCTGGAAATGTAGTTCAGTGGTAGAGTGCTCATCCAACATGCAGAAGGTCCTGGGATCAATCCTGAGTACCACAAAAAAATAAAAATTAAAAGATAAAGGGCTGAGGTTGTGGCTCAGCGGTAGAGCACTCGCCTAGCATGTGCGCGGCCTGGGTTCAATCCTCAGCACCACATAAAAATAAATAAATAAATAAAAGATATTGTGTTCAACTATTAAAAAAAAAAGACAAAGGAATCTTGGGAGTGTGGTGGTCAAGCCTAGCATGGAAAAGACCCTAGGTTTAATTCTCAGTACTGTGGGAAAAAAGAGGTCAGAGAGAAAACAGAAAACCTGAGGAAAGTGATTCAGCATATTCACCTTCGGAGTGTGAGGTAATGGTCCAGGGCTCGTCTTCTTGTGGGGCTCATAGGTGCAGGGGTTGAGACAGTCGCTTTCTCCTTGGCCTGTGGGCCAGCCTCTGGCTCAGGTTCCCTATTGATCTTCTTACTTTGGAGCTGGACCTCTGGGGTTGGCAAAGGGGAACAGGAGACAGAAGGACCAGAGGCTTCTGATCTGGGTAGAAAAAAATAAGAGCCTATAAAAGCAGTAATGGAAAGGGCCAACTATCCTATGACTCCCAACCTCTTAAAGCAATGTTTTCTAAATAGTGTTCGTCAAGATATCAATAAATATCTTTCGGGCTGGGGATGTGGCTCAAGCGGTAGCGCGCTCGCCTGGCATGTGTGCGGCCCGGGTTCAATCCTCAGCACCACATACAAAGATGTTGTGTCCACCGAAAACTAAAAAATAAAATATTAAAAAATAAATAAGTAAATATCTTTCATTAATATGATTTTGGAATCATGAATTTGGGAAAAGCTAGCTTAACATTTTAAAACTTTTAATCTTTTTTTTTTTTTAAATGACATTACTATTTTTAGTTGTCAATGGATCTTTATTTTATTTATATGTGGTGCTGAAATTCGAACCCAGTGCCTCGCACATGCTAGGCAAGTGCTCTAACACTAAGCCACAATCCCAGCCCTAAACTTTTTATCTTAAAAGACTGTATATTGAGGCTGGGGATGTGGCTCAAGCATGCATGAGGCCCGGGTTCAATCCTCAGCACCACATACAAACAAAGATGTTGTGTCCGCCAAAAACTAAAAAATAAAAAAATAATTTAAAAAAAGACTATATTTAGCAAGGTGTAGTAGTGCATGCCTGTAATCCCAGCAACTTGGGAGACTGAGGCAGGAGGACCACAAGTTCAGTAACTTAGGGAGACCCTGTCTCAAGATAAAAAATAAAAAGGACTGGGAATGTGACTGAGTGGTTAAGTGCCCTTGTGTGCTAGCATATGCCTGTAATCCCAGCAATTCAAGAGGTTGAGGCTGGATCACAGGTTCAAAGCCAGCCTCAGCAACTTAGTGAGACCCTACCTCTAACCACTAAGCCACATCCCCAGTTCTTTTTTACATTTTATTAGAGACAAGGTATTGCTGAGTTGCTTAGGGCCTTGCTAAGTTGCTAAGACTGGCTCTGAACTCCTGATCCTCCTGCCTCAACCTCCCAAATTGCTGGGATTACAGGCATGTGCCACAATGCACAGTTCTATCTAAAAATTGTTTACAAATAAGTAAAAAAAAGGATTGGGGATGTAGTTCAGAGGTAGTGTCCCTGGTTCAATCCCCAGTACTACATAAACAAAGAAGCAAGCAAAAAACCCCAAAACAATTCAAACCAAGTCAAACACCAGTATTCCTCAGAATACATTTTAAAAAACAATAAATTTAGAACCATCTATTTTCTTCTGTCCTCCCTACTTCTGGCTTTCCCATCCCACAGACCTGTATTTCCGACGGCAGCAACTGTTATAGTGGGGAGCTCTATGCAGAGCGTTCTGGGTGATAAGTCGAGTCTGAGTTAACAGAGGAGCCTGGTACGGAAATGAAAGAGTCAGAGCCTTCAGAAACAAAAGTTCTTTAAGCATAATGTATGCAGCAAGGTCTGTCTGTCTGTATGTATGTCTAAACCCCTCCCTCTCTGATTACCTCAGCTTTGGTCTCTTCCCTCCTCAATTCATTCTGTTGTCTTGGATTTTGCTCTCTTCCTTTTCCTGGCTGCTTCTTGCCATAGAAAAGCTGCAGGCCTGAGGAGAAAAGGAAAGAGAACTGAAAACCTAACACCAAGGGCTGGGGTTGAGGCTCAGCAGTAGAGCGCTCGCCTAGCCCGTGCAAGGCCCTGGGTTTGACCCACAGCACCACAGAGTGGTCTGTGGAAATTTTAAGTTTATTCTCTATCTCCTGACTTCCCCCAAACTTACTAGACAGATGCTTCTTTCCTGAACGATGGGCAGTCAGCATGGCCAGTGTGTCCAATACAGGTCGATGGGGGCAGATGGCACAAGCAAAGCTGGGAAGGGGGAGAGAAGAGGATTAAAAAGCTCAAGGACAGAGGAGTTTCCTGCGGTGGGGAATTTGTCCCACCCTATTCTAGCAATCCTTTCCAAAGCCTAACCCTTAGGTCTCTCGATCTCCACCTTTTCCAGTCCTCACTTCCCACCAAAGAATCGTAGATACTCCTGATTCCTTAATAACAAAAGTTTGTTGAGCCAGAAACCCTTAGGTTCGATCCAATCTTTGCCCTCACCGTCCATCCCGTAGCATCAGAGCCTCATCCTCCGGGATGTAACTGGCCAGCAGGTCCCCAACCCTTCGTTTCTGCAGGGGACAGAAGAAGTTTGGAAAGGATCCGCGGAATAGGAGAGATGGGTGGAAGGTAAATAATAGGGATGAGGAGCCAAGTGGAATAAGGGTCGTGGGGAGAACAGCGCTCATAAGAAGAGCTCCTGGGAGCCTGGCTCCGCACTAGGCAGCTCACACTCTCAACTTGGGCTCCACATTAGGTTCTGGTCCCTCCATAAGAAGAAGGGATCACTCCCATTTCTTCTCGTCTGGATCGCTCCACTACCAACGCAGCTGTTGCCAGGGCAACATAACAGAACTCCTTCACAGCCTTCAGAAGGCAGCTGAAGATGCTCCAGACCCTCTACTAGCACTTACTTTGAGTACATTGAGCTGACTCCAATCATCGCCTTCCCTCTTGAAAGACATCACGAACGTGAGCCCTACAAATGATAAATTCTCTTGGGCCGGCTTCGCCACTCCTTCAGGCTACCGTAGGAAGAACGGAACATCTCCGTCCCTTCTTCCGGTCTCTTCCGGGTTGGTCTCCGTAAATTTCCGGAGGTGCGCTTCCACAAATGCACCGCGCGATCCCGAAAGCCCGCCTCCAATGTTCTGAGAGGACTGCATTTCCTATGGTGCGCTGCGACCCCTCCGACGCGGAGCCTTTTGGGAAATGAAGTCTTTTTTTCAAAGAGCTTGCCGCTCAGCTGGGTCGAGGCCCTAGCATCTTGACGGATTCCAGGCGTCGGGAGGGACCAGAACCTAATGTGGAGCCCAAGTTTGAGGGTGTGACCTGCCTGGTGCGGAGCCAGGCTCCCAGGAGCTCAGTGGAATGTGCCCTACAAACTCTCGCAGTCTTCGAGCGTCTCTTCAGGGGCCACAGCCGACCTAGGGTGGGCCCGAGGTGCTCCTGACCCTAGCAGATGAAACTCAGGACGGCGCCGAGCCCGAACGTGGGGGCCCCGGGAGGCCTGGCCGCCGTACTAGGAGACACCCTGAGGAACGCGGGTTGAGGAGGGGGCTAGAGTTCAAAGGTCAGAGGTCACCGCAGCGAGGCGCGGCGAGGGGATGAAAGTCAGAGGGTGTTGAGACTCCAGGACTGAATACTCGGGACAGATCGGTGGGTGGGCGAGTTGCAGAGAGGAAAAGCGGAGCGGGGGCGCGGAGGGAGGCTTAGGAACGAAGGAGAAGGAATTCCCTGGATAGTCATTCCCTGGGTTGGAGCGACACTGCCTGTCACTTAACCGGGCGACCTCTTTCGCGACCCCAGCTGTCCGGGTGAGGAGATGGCTTCTCCCTCTAGACAGCCCCCCTTGGGAGGCTCTGGGCTGCTGCAGGGCAGCCGGGCTCGTTCTTACGGAAGCCTGGTGCAGTCCGCCTGCTCCCCGGTGAGAGAGCGGCGCCTGGAGCACCGGCTGGAACCCGGAGACACCCTGGCCG